TCCTTTTTTGCACTAAAAAACTAGTCAGAGCAACTAACTGTCTACGTACGAAATTTACGGAACAGGGATAAGAAAGCAGGCGGGATAAAAGAAGAGCGAGGTATAGTGAGAAAGCTCACCCCTGCCTTTAGACGATAAAGCCTTCTTTTACATCCCATCCCCTAGACAAATCAATAGGAAATGCTACAAGCCATTGTTGTTCTTTTGACGATGAACCACTCCGGTACAACAAGCTAAAGTGACCTCTACGCTTCGTCCCCGGTGCGTAGGGCCGATCCCCGTGTGCTAGAGGGAGGACCAGAAAGTTTGTGTTAAGCATATAGTTGGTTCTTGTCTTGTTTAGGCATTTGGTGCCCTCTCTTTGTCAGTAGAATGACTAAGTACCGGAATTTGACCAGTCAAGTCAGTTCCTCCCACCTAGGTCCCCGGCTTTGCTTTCTTGTCCGGAATAGAACCAGCTTGAGTTCCGAGGACAGAAGCCTTTTTTTCTGGTTGGCTAGTTGGTTTTCATCTGCCGGAAGAACACCAAAGAAGCGTCTTCGCAGAGCCTCCTAGTCAAGACCCGGAAGGTTCACTGTTGCTGTAACCATAACCATCGGAATCGGGCTTGTGAAGGAGAGGCAATAGCAGCCCTCTCTGAAACTTAAAGATCCTACTCACGTTCACTTTAAGAGGTGGTTTAAGGAGTTTATAGGTTAGCATCAAGGTATGTAGTTTTCCCAAACCAAATGTTGATGGCTTGGAGTTACATACCCCTGAAGAGAAGGAGATGAGCGCAAAAAAGCCTCTTCCGGATGTTGATCCGAAAGTGACGATACAACAAAGGCTATTCGGTGTGAGTTGGTGTTCAGTATGGAGGTACCTCTTCACTAGGGCTCAGCGCCAGTTCCTTAAGTAGATTAGGGAAAAGAACTCAGAGAATTGAGTATTTATCCATTTTATTTCTTTTTAATGCGGTAAATTCGGTCACAGATCCGAGTCATGTTTACAACGGACTGAAATCAAACCGACACGAGTGCAGGGAAGGACAATAATGATGCTATGAGAACTGATACAGAGCAAGAGAAGCAAAATGTTGTAGTAAATAAACCTTCACGAAAATAGGGTCCTTGGATGATAGGTCAGAAAAGGGGACGACGCGGAGTGATAAATTGAAATCAGAGAGGGGGAATTCACGGAGGTGAGCGAGAACATGATGGCAATAAGCAATAGGGCTCTCGGTTTGCAGTGTTAGAAACTGAAGAACCCGAAGGGATGGCCGATGAGCACAGGCTCGCCGGAGTGATCAGGGGGAACAATGAGATAGAGCAACGGGAAGAAGGTCGTCGTCTCTTTGGGAAGAGTCCAGCTCCAAGTACGCGGTTCAAGCACAGCTAAATGCACAGAGAGAACAGAGCACCCGGAATCAGCAAGCCATCCAGGGGGCCGGGGCCGCCCCCCACTTAACAACCTAAAAACCCTCCTACCCAATCGCAACCGAAAAACCCAGCGCAAGCTCCGCCCAGACCCGCTTATAACAACGCTGCGCCTCCGGCCAATTATGATCCTCAGCAGCAACAAGGTGCTCCCAAGCGACCCTGGGGACCCAATAGAGCTCACTACCCGCCATTAGCCCTACCCATTCCTACCCTATTCTCCATCCTTCTGACCTGTAAAACCCTTTCTCTGCCCAGAGATCAACCACTCCCCTGGCCTCCTGGTCTCGACTATTCAAAGTTCTGTCCATTTCACCGATACGCAGGCCGTACCATCGAAGAGTGTCATACTTTGCGTGATGTCATCTAGATGAAAATCTTATCAATTGGAACGAAGTTAAGGCATACCTTAAAGCCGCCAATGTCACTGAAGCTACTGGGGATCTAGACTAATCCAATGCCACAACATCAAGGGGGACAAGTCACCACTCAGGGACCTACACCGGTACAAACTAATCCAGGACTTTCTGCCAGCGCTAACACCATCCGAGCTTGCACTGCCGCTCGAAGAGAGATGCCTGTGAGACCCTCTCAAGTTCTTGAATTCGAAGGAGGTTCTGAGAATTCAAAAGTCCGAAGTCACTTTCTTTGTCCCTAGGAATCTAAGTTCCAAAAGCAGACGAAATCGCTATGGAACCGGACCTCCTCGCTGCCGCTTAATTCATTACCAGGAAGAGGGAAATTCGCTTTTTTAGTAAGCCCTATTAGCTAGTAAGGGTGGGTTGAAAAGGTAAAGAAGGAAGAATCCGAACGAATGCATGGGCAGGTGAAATGAGCCCTTTTTTTTTAATACCCTCGTCACCTACTAGTGAGCCGGAAAGCTTAGGGACGCCTCTCGTTCCTCTTCCCCCATTTGACAACCGTATCTCGTTCGGATGATTCTCTGAAACCCCCTTAACTAAGAGAGAGAAAGGCGAAGGGAAGTTCGGAAAAGCCTAGCAGACGGGACTATCAACCCCTTTCTATTAAGACCTCGGCACCATCCTTACCCCCTACGAAAGATTTAGCCCTATTTATTTATAAGAGGAAAGCTCCCAGGTTCCACATCTTAAAGAAGTGCATGACCAGATTGGAAGCACGGAGGTTCATTCGCAATGGGACAACTCACCCAGCCATGATGCATGACAGAAGAGATCGAGCACAAAATGGAGTTTCCCTCTTGGGCGAGGCTCACGTCCGGAAATAATCTTTTTCAAGACTTTCTCTCCTATGTTGACCTTTCTCTATATTACCTTATTTTTTAATTCACTTGAAAGCCCCTTTTCTGGTAGACCTGGGCATGTTCCATGGCGCGAAGTCTCTTCTCATCTAATAGCTCTCATTTTGGGGATATATAAAAAGCTCTCTATCATCCACATCCAAATCTTTTTCTGGGCCCTGATGTTTCAGGGAATGGCGGAATCCGTCTCTAGCAAGTACGCAACTGGCCTTAAATTGTATCGAGAGGCCCTTCTCATAAGATGTTGTAAGGGCCTTATTCGACGAAGCTTAAAGCAGACATCAAGAGCTAAGAAGGGGGCCAACAAGCCCCTTTGAAGCTAATGCCTTAGAAGCTACAGGACATAGAAGCAGGCCAACAAGTGGATTGAATCTTTTCCAGTCTAGAGACTGGCGGATTACCTTCGAAACAAAGGATTGCAAAATTCCTTCTGCTTTGGACAAGATAAGTGGACAGATGAGTTGAATAATACAGGGACTGATAAGCTAAGCGAGGTTCCCCTTTGAGATCTCCCAACCTAAAGGCTTTATTCAGAGGTGGGTCTTTCAACCGCCTACTCTTTCGATGAAGGGTGCACTACAAGAGAATCGGTACTAAAGATATTAAATGGGGGGATTTCGCCGATATTGAGTCGACTATAAACTATTCATCTTGCTTGGAACCGTCGTTGTGTATGGGAAAGAGGGCTTCTACCTATGCTTGGTTGGGAAAAGGGTGAATGGTCCCAAAAGGGACGGGAAAAAGCCACTAGAAAGAACGGGGGGTCATCCACCAAGTATCAAGCTGGGTAGTCCACTTTATCCGTGACTCTGAGTACAAGATTTCCGGGATCAAGAAAC